GCGACTCCCTGCCCTCAAAAAGGAAGTCTGCAGAGCAAAATGAGGGAGTTGCCGCAGTCTGGAGGTTCATAAATTAAAGATATTAAACAATAACGCCATGTGCTTATTTTAAGATTCATGTGCGGTTGCACGTCTGTCAAATTTTCTTTGGATATTACTTAGCTGAAAAAATATGGTATTTCCACGAGGCCGTGCTCTGGAACGAACTAGGTAGTATGGTAGAGATTTTCAGGAGTCACACGGACTCCTGCATACGTCAAATCAGGGAGTCCGACAGTAAATCAGGGAGTATTTGACTCCGGACTCGTGTTAATTTCGCACCCTGTCATTATAAAGAGTCGCATAACCCTCGCCCCCCCCCCCCCCGAGTCTGTTATATACGGATATCACACACAGCGCTCAACCGATGCTCGAGCTAGGCTGGCCATAGATTGTATTCACTGTGATAACTACGAAGGGGAGAACATGGCAGGGGAACAGTAAGTAAGAACCGCGTCACATGTTAGCAGTAGACACACAAGTTGTCAAGCAGCAAGATGAATGAGACGACCAGACGAAGGTTTTCGCTGCTGTCGCGAAACGAATTTTTCCGCAAAAATTTCAACCTCACCATCCAAGCCAGCCCCAAACAAGGAACGGAAAACTACAATAGCTGTGCAGCGATTTCACTGCAATTAGTTGGTATAATATTTCAGTGTGGCAAAAAATATTGACTTATGTGTGATTTCGTATAATTTGCAGATGAAAAATCTTCTCAGGGGGACATTAGCAACTTCGTATCAGTTGATTATCTAATTGTACACGTTGATTACAGTGGAGCTTTCCTTCGTCATATGACCTACCACATTAAACCAGATATCGGCGGCCACTGTGCTTGGAAGAGAGTGAACTAAGTGTTGGGCAACTGTATTAGCGATTCCGCATATGCTGGCTACAGACATTCAATATTCAAACATGCAACATGAAGTGGCATTTATAAGCCAAGACGTAACAGCAGCAGCAGCAGCAACAGCAGCAGCAGCAGCAACAACAGCAGCAGCAGTGGCGGCGGAGAGTCGGACGTTACCTGTGGATGAGGTTTGTGAGAGGTTCGATCAACTTCTTGCCTAGGCGCGGCTCCAACGGTGTCAGAGCTCCAAACTGCCACAGAAGCAAGCACGATAAAAAAAACCTTCCCCAAAAATCTGCAGAATTACTCATCCCCAGTCCGCACTCAGTCTAACCCAGTCTAACCCAGTCTAACTCAGTCCGTACCCAGTCTAACAGAAAACATACTCCTATTTCACGGAGCACACAGCTAAATTTAATCTCAGGAGCAAATCACGCACCGGTGAGGCATAAATGCTTCTCGAATCGTAAACGTGACACTCTATAAAACAATAATTTTTCAACGATATCTTTCGCGCGGCAATTAATACAAACGGAATTAACTCTTCAGTCTCAGTTTAACGACATCCTACCATCTCAGGCCTTTCGACTCTAGCTGCACACATATGGTGTGACCTGAGCACATGTATAGGTGAATAAACTATGACTCTCTTAAAGTAATTATTGCGAAAGTTTTCCAGTGTTTTCCCCACTTTCATGACACCTACCGTTATTGCTTGAGTAACAGCAATTGTCTAGAGTAACGATAAAATGTCTTAGAACCTCCGTATTCACCAAATCATGCACAATTACAACTTTGCGTTTTGTTTTGTTTACAGTTGCCATCTCACGGACTTACTCGCGGTAGCCGCAAGACATCTATCACGGTGCAGTAATGATTACCGTCGCACCGTAGAAATCAGGTCAGTGTGTAAACACAGAGGTTCATACTAGCGTAACAGCAGTGTAGTACTAATACCGTGTAAAGTCTGTTATTAGAGAAGGTTGTGGATTACCAGTCAGATAGTAACACGGTAATGACAATGACAGAAAGTGCTCTGAATTATTGACATAAAAAGTCAAAAATATTTACCACACAGAATTGCACGCCCTTTTGTTTTAATTATGCACTTCGTTTGAAGGCGCCATTTGTATTTTGGATAGTCGGCATACGATAATATTCGGAGCTGGTATGATGTGGTCAAATCCATTTTTCTATGCTATAACTGCATAAAATCTTAGTGTTTTTAAAGTTGGTCTAATCAGTGATGTTTCCGGTGTCAGGTGAGACTAAATTCAGCTATATTTAGTTTTTCTGAGCCAAAAAACTCGCAATACACACTTTAAGGTAGCCAAATGCCTCATCATCTAATTCGTGACGCGCATGAATGGATTACCACTGTTCCTATCTACTATCTAGCGGAACCGCAGCCAAGGGAACGAGCTTGGCGAAATTACCCCCACCCCCCCCGGCACTACTGCCGACCACCTCTCACCAGCTTTATGATCTTGATGAGCATCCAGTTGTTTGTGGAACTCGTCATCAGCTTGAAGAAGATCGGCGCGAGCGACAGGTAGTTCTTGGGATTGCGGCGCGCGAGCTCGCAGACGACATTCACCGCAGCGGATTGCACACCTGCGTCATAGATATATATATCACATAATAAACTGAAGTAAGATAAGGCCAAAACAAAATATAGGTGTGGTTACCGTTTCCCGACCGACCCTATTTATTCCCAGCGACCCTAAACATTTTATTGTCAATTTTCTTTAAAAAGTAAAAAAAAATAAAATAAAAATTTAAAAAAAATAAAATAAAAAATGAATTGGACAGTTCCTGCTTCAAAAGGCACAACGCACATCCTTCGGACATAGTTCGTAGATAAAATGTTTCAATAAAATAAAATGTTTTCCCTACCTACCTACCCTATTTTTTTCCGGCATGAAACGGTAACCACACCTATATTTTGTTTTGGCCTAAGACGAGAGAACTTAGAAAAGCTCAAAAGAAGTTGACATTTCGTGGACCCATGAGAAGCTGCTGGCAGTGGCAAATAGGAAATTGGACTGTGTGCATGTTATTGCACGCGATTGTGCACTAATCCGGAAGAAGCCACCAAAATTCTTCAGTCTTTTCCAGAAGGTGACATGTTTACAGGTAACAGTCATAAATAATCTCTGACACCTTCCTTTATTTCAAAGGATGACTGTTACCTGCAACACATGACATGGTTATTGATTAGCTAGTCATGGTTGGAAGGAGGCAGATGGAGATGAAGACAATTGTTGCGCACACATGCATACGTGATACCAGGGTTCATAGTAGTAAGACACATGTTGAAATAAGGACTTATAAGACCATTTCTGGAGGCCAAAATAAAACTTTTTTACGCGATTTCTGATAGATCACTGACTATTAAAGTACACTAATAATATTTATATACACAATTGCACAGCAGATTTAATTATTCCGTATTATATATATAACAATTCTTACTCTAAGTTGAGAACAGTTTATAAAAATAAGGACTATTAAGTACTTTTCTAAGTACATTTCACCAAAAATAAGTACTAATAAGGGCCCTTATTTTATTTTTGGCCAAATAAGTACTTATAAGACTTTGGAACACCCGCTACGAACCCTGGATACGCTCGCTAGTGTGGGTCTGAGAGATGACACCGTGACATACGTGCACATCTCATACTTTTGTTAATGAAGTAATGAAGATGTGAGAGAGGATACTGTGACAAGAACATACGCGCACATGTCACACGTTCATTAATGAAGCTGTGACAGATGATGCCATGACAAGTAACTATTCACTCAAATGTGCACGCACGCACTCACGCACACACACACAAAACGCACGCACGCACGCACGCACCCACACACTCACGCCCACCCACCCACAAACACACGCCCACCCACTCACGCACGCACACGCACCCACGCTCGCACGCACACACACACACACAAACCCACACACTCACACCCACACACGCTCATGCCCATGCCCACACGCACACACCCACACACCAACACACACACTCGCAGCGAATATGGTGGCTACTCACCAGGGTCCGGGTCTTCGAGTTTCTCCTTTAGTCGAGCGAAGGTCGGTCGCAGGGCGTCGGGATACTTGAGGAACACTTTGTACATCACGAGGATCGCCTTCTTCCTGATGTAGGGCTTCGTAGAAGCCATCTGTCCACGGAAAGTTCAGAATGCACAATGTCGATCCACACAAACTCTTAACAATGACGACATTAACTATGAAATCCCCAGTGAAAGCAACAGTTAGTTATCCCTCGTAGGTGCCTAAGTTAAGCCTATGGCACATAAGACAGTGTCTGTAACAATAAGACATACGCCTTGCGGCCTTCCCCTTCCCTCCTCTCACCGAACCTCCTTCCCTAACCGCTTGCATAACATGGTGCCTGTCCGTTCACACGTCGCCGTGGACATTCACCGGCAATTGCCGACTATTGCCAGCACCCTCCGGTCTTCCCCACCCTCGCCCCTTCTCCTTCCCTCCTCTCACAGATTCTCCTTCTCTACCCGCTCGCGAGACACGGACGGTGTCTCTCCGTTCTTACATCGCCGCGTTCAACTGCCGACTGTTGCTGGCACAATCAGGTCTTTCCCACCCTCGCCCCTTCTCCTTCCCTCCACCCATCAAGTCTCCTTCTCTACCCGCTCGCGCTCGCGTCAAGGACGCCGCGTCACCGCGGTCAGGGTCGTCGAGGCCACTCACCAAGGTCATGATGTCGTTGGCAAGGTCGCGAGCAAGGTCGGAGGTCAGGAAGCAGGACAGGCCCGTGAGCGCGACGGCCGCGTCGTACGTGTTCGAGCTGTTCAGATCCTACAGGTAAAAACACGTCAGGCATACAGGTGAAAACACGGCAGGCCTACAGGTAAAAACACGTCAGGCCTACAGGTAAAAACACGTCAAGCCTACAGGTGGAAACACGTCAGGCCTACAGGTGAAAACACATCAGGCATACAGGCAAAAAACATGCCAGTCCTACAGACGAAAAACACGTCAGGTCTACAGGTAAAAACACGTATGATCCTACAGGCGAAAAACACGTCAGGCCTACAGGCAAAAAACACGTCAGGTCTACAGGTGAAAACACGTCAGGCCTACAGGGTAAAACATGTCAGGCCTACAGGGTAAAACATGTCAGGCCTACAGGTAAAAACACGTCAGGCCTACAGGTAAAAACACGTCAGGCCTACAGGCGAAAAACACGGTGAAATTCCATACTCAATCACACGCCATGTATAAAAACTTAAAATCAGGAAATCAAATTATCCTCATCTGCAAAAAATCGACATCCACGATAACAGCATAATTCTCGTATCGATCCTCAGGCATAATACGATTTTCAATAAGACGATTTGTCAAGGACCTTCACGCTGTCGATGCAAGAGCTCGGTACCTTTCTAATCATGTTAGTCGTGAGCATCATCACATCGGTTCCCTCGTGGAAGCACTGCGCCGCTGTGAGATATCCCGATCGCTGAAGCACACAAATTGCAATTCACCAATGAGCCTCGCAATCGTGTGTAACGTTTCGACTAACACCCGCGTTGTTACGCGATTGTGCACACGAACCACACGATCAATGATCAGAGGTATTACTGCAGTGCTTTATGCTCGCAAGTGGGAATTGTGAAGAAATAACTTGTAATCTTGTAACGACGAGTTTGTATGTAATAATTTCGAGTAAATAATCAACAAGAATATAGAATTTGTGTTCACTAAAAGATATGTTTACAAATTCAACCGGTCACTAACTCATTATAGTTTATACCATCACACGTCCATCTCTCCGGGTCTTTATTTATATTACTCTCTCCTTATATTATCACCAACAAGCTCCACTCTACCCAGCCAATCACTCAAGACTCTAGTTCCTTTGTTTGTCCTATTACGTGCCAAAACTACATGTGCAAACCACTTGCATGTATTTAATCTACCATATGTCTATACACTGTCTACTACACGCTGCGCAACCTATCATTCATAACCTATATATATTAACTATATATGGTAACTGGCTATTACCCCAACCTAGGCTATTTACAGCTAAATCTATCTAATGTGCAAACATGTGCAAAACACATGTTATAATCTAGCTCCACGTCATAGTAAGAACCGATCATGTGATTTCATACAGCTGATGACAATGTATCAATCGACTCTTGTAAGCAAATGAAATTCACACTATGCACGAAAAAGCTACACCCTACCTTTCTAACTGTTAACCAAGATTACGAAGACCCCACATCATCACCTACCTTGAACGTAAACTTTGGTGAGCTCATAACTTCGATGACATTGAAGGCAGCCCAGCTTATGTCGTAGCCTAGCATCTGCAGCTATACAACGAGAGAACTATTAGCAAGAAGCACGGTAAGATTTACACGATGTCATAAATGAATGAAATTACAATTTGTGTAATTCAGTTGTTTTCACTAAACGAAAGTAAGTGGATGTAAAAAAATAGTAGATGGTTATATTTTTGGAACTTTTGGCAGGGCCAATTCAAGCAGTGTAAATAGTGAGGGGGATTGCTTGAGAAGGTTGTGTATCTTCTCTCCATGGTGAGGGGGATGACTCCTGATATAAATGCAAATAATAGCAAACAGAAACAAAAACTTTAAAAACTGCAATGAAATTTCGCAACGTTCTATCGGCATTTACACGCCGTTTACATTGATTAAAATAATTTCAATTATGTCATTTTTGAGAGCATATATGATCAACACAAATTTGTGAGTCTACCCAATTATAGGCCTATATATATCGACGTTGCCAAAGAAACCGGATCCCGGATAGCTGGTAGCTACCTTGCAACGAAACTGCTGTAATTACTTATTCACAAAAGTCAGGTGCATCAGAAAGTAGCATTGGCTCTATATAGCAGTTAACTTGCCATGATAATATATGTCATCTCTGTGTTTTCCCAGTGCAATTAACCTCGATTACTTGTTGCACACTGCAATAACTCCACGTTTATTGCCGAGTTGGTGGAAGCAACTGTTCATAGAATGCCTTTCTCAAGGATATAAATGAGGCGGAACTCAAACCTGGGCCACATTGCTTATAGCGACATCCACTTACGGATATGTTTTTTTTTGTCATTTTACAAGGTTTATATGTGATATATTCTGAAAATATACAATCAGCTATTCAATTAGTAAATCAGTTATAATTTCTATTCTATTTAATACAGAGAATTATAAATCCGACAGACATCATCAACTTACATAGCAGAGTTTGGTGACAGCATTTGCCTTCACAGAAATGTTATCCTGCTTCAGTTCAAGCTTTATTTCATCCACAACCTGAGCAATAAAGCGTCCCTGCAAGAAAATCAAAGCTGTAGTCTAACATTCATTCCATCGATTAGCATCTACGTGCAAAACTTACCAGGTATGAATATAAGGAACAACGGTGTCTGCTTTTTCCATGCTAAACATAACTTTCCATAAAATTTATCAGGGTCAGGTGAAGATCGGCATTCCCTCTTGCTTGATGAAGCCTGTTCATTGCTAACGATCATGTGAGCGTGATCATTGCTTTCGACATGTGCCATCGTCTAATGATCCTTTTAAGTTAAGCTTCTTTGTTTCTGTTATTTCGGATTGGAATTCTCTCTCTTCGTCTTTTGGTAAATTGCAAATTTGTGGCTTTTTCTACTGCGATCCACCGTATTGATCTGTCGATTTTATCAACTTGACTCTCCATCTTCGATATATATAGTTCTTTGGACTTTGAAGACTATTACTTACAATGTTACGAGGTGGACATGGTTGAATTGACATTATAGTACACGTTATAACAGTTAACACAATATTAAAGTTGGTCCAAAATAGGACGTTTAATATGAGAGCATAGCAGTAACAACTATACCCAATTTCAAACATGTGGGTCAAACGGTTCCTGAGTTATCGTTGACCGTAGCCAAATGTTGACGGACGGACGGACAGATGGACGGATGTACGACGGACGACGACCCATGGCAATAGCTCAGCTTGACGATGTCAAGGTGAGCTAAAAATGAATGTCACTTATTTACTTTATGGGCTTAAGCTTGATAGAGGTAAAACTTCGTAAAGCTGATGCACGTGTACATAAACACTAAATTAGCGGTACCGTCTACCAGGTCAGTAAGTAACTTAGTAAGTGTAACGGCACTACCCATGTTGATAGTTCAAAATATACCCCTGGGAGTTTCTAAACTGAACAGTCAACCATGTAGGCAGTCAAGATTGTACATATTGTTTAATGTTTTTACACTAAAACTGTACATGCATACATTCAATTGGGGGCCGAGTTGGGTAAATGTTAGTCCGGGCCGACGCAGACCCCAGTAATGGGGTCTGCGGCTGTGTCTATCTCAATCACGGAAAGCCACCTCCAGTTTGGAGGTGGCACTTATAGGTAATATATGCGCCCGATATATATACAATCCTATTGCGTGGAACTTACTTTAATCTGAACTTGAATAATTTATCTACGTGCATGCACGCTATGATGTCCTGGTAGCGGCCACAACATAAGAACATATATCAAGTTGATAACCTAATGGTAAATATAAACATCATACCAAAATGGTCTGTCTTCATTCACATTTGTCAACCAATAAAAATCAGGGTTCTCCAAGCTTTTTCATTATAGCATGGCGGGGCTGCCTTTACTTCTACTTCTACTTCTACTTCTATACTGGACAGTCCGTAAGGAATAAACGTCCAGGGCTATAGCTAGCCATGGTGTGTGTGACCTAGCTTGGGTACAGCGAGGTAGTTAGCCTTTTTTTAGCCGAATGGCACTGAGGGTGGTCACAGCCAGAGTTTTTTGCGCCCTCAGTGGTTCTTTTACGTCCCCATTGGTCTTAGTATTACTATATTGACTAATACTGGAGACGGGACCGCCATTTTACGTGGTCATCCGAGCCACGGGAGATTCACAGTCTCCAATGTTGAGAGCCAGGTTTTTACACCTTCAGAAAATTCACTGCCCCAGCCGGGGTTTGAACTCACAGCCTTCAGTGGACAGTATACGTGGCCTAACCACTGGACCACGGGGGCTCTCTTCTGTACGGTCATAGTTTTAGCATTTTTTAGCTAATTTTAGCATGGCGGCTATGATATTTAGAGTGGCGAGTGCATTTTAGGATGGCGGGGCTCGACGATAGCCTGGCGGGCCGCCAGGCTATAAGTGCTCTTGGAGAACCCTGAAAACCACTTCCGGTTACTTCGGCTATTCCCGATGTTCAAATATAGTCCGCGCAATCTATGGTCAGGTTAATCTTAATTCTTTCCGAGTGAACCCGAAACTACCGGAAGTGAATTTCATTGGCCGATCGAAATGAATATGGCCAAAAATATCGAAGTTACTGTTACTAGAATGAATTATTGCATGAAAACAAAGTTCTGAAACGGAGATAAAGTCTTCAGAAAGCGATATTGACAAACAGAAGGTCTGTACTTGATATTTTGGGTCGGATACACCCCCGTCACGCCCTCAGTGCTACTCGTTTTACCTAGCCAATGACCACAACAAAAATTGCAACAATTTTTACAAAAGTGACTGCAGACGATAAATCCGCACCCTCAGATTAGGAAAAAGCGGAGTTATAACGTCTGCATTTGCAGCCTAGGTAAATGTATAGGTTTAATACTATTTTTTACTACCTACTGTACGTTTAATATTGGGTGCCGATTTATTGATATTTGCAGGAATGCCGATTATGGAGGATAGGCCTACCATGCTAAGTGCAACAGTACGATTTAATTTATTGTGAAACTTCGTGAACAGCTTTATTTGAATTTTTCGAAAGTCGTTACGTAAATGCGTTTAGATGTAAACTGTAATTCTACTAGTAGTAGTAGTAGTACCTCATTATCCTTGTTGTTACGTATTCCCCTGACCATGTCCGTCAGATTCTTGTCGAACAATCGTTCGAAATTGTCCTTTACTTTCTTTAGTCTAGTATTTGCCATTTTGAAGATTTATCCTCTTCTTCTTTTTCTGTGAAACCTAACAGCCGATTGTCATGAGGAACTATCTTAATTAGAGATAGAGCAAATAACAGCTGTTTTTCAGTCAACTAAACATTTCTCCACATAGCCACGAAAACAAGATGGTTGATCTTGTCACGTGACCCACCTCCGCAGAGAGTGCTGCCACCAAAGCAGAAAAAATAGGGAACTAATGGTCTACGTTTATCATAGATATATAGATTACAGATTATATACAAATTATCTATGATTTTATCAGGCTGCAGAAAAACTGGCACGTTGCTCAAATACGTGTTTTTGAAAAACAATAATTGAGTGCGTTTCTTTAATCAGATAAAGATTTAATCTGGGCTGAACGGGATATGAAGCAAAATTTCACCGTTTCAAATCGGTTGTCATTCATTCTTTAACAACGTTGTCAACGCAAAAGCAAACTGTGTGTGTGTGTGTGTGTGTGTGTGTGTGTGTGTGTGTGTGTGTGTGTGTGTGTGTGTGTGTGTGTGTG